AGGAGAGGGAGAGAGAGAGAGAGAGAGGGGGGGGGAGAGAGAGAGAGAGACCGCTGGATCCGTGGAGGGCGGAGATTTAAACACTCGATATGAAATAGAGCCTATAGGGAGGGTCCGCAGAATGCAGATCTCTCCCATAACTCATGCAGGCTACCTCGCCGTAATAATTGCCGTGCACGCCCGCGGACGTATAAGCTACGACGGCGAGTTTCGCGGATATTTCCGAGCCGCGCTTGGAAAAATTCACTCGTGAAGTATTGTCCCCTTAACCCTGAGCCGGCCGGCCGCTCGTATTTTTGTAACACCTCGCCGGCTGTACATCCTCACCTCCGGCGTGTACCACGCCATTTTATCGCAATCCCGATATAGCCATAGGGACATTATCGCCAAGATAACCGATGTGCTTGAAGCAAATATAATTATGTAAGATATACATAAATTTATAGCTGATTAGAATAAATTGCAGATAAAAGTGCCTGAATGGATTTTACCCGTATTCAAGATTACGCGTCCTTTATTTAAGGAAAAGGATTTAACTTTTTCCTACGTTAACCTAAGGACACAAGAGTGGTTAAGAATATCACCACCACATCGGATGCGTTTGTTTGTCTTACCTTTCTTTTTAAATATATATATTTGAATTGGATGAATTAATTACTTGTCTGAATTAAGTTTGGGAAAATGTATCATGTCCTGAAATATAAAAGTTCTCGGAATGAGGATTTACAAGAAAACTTATAAGTCAATTTGCACGCAAAGTTTCTCCTTACTTTCTTTACAAGTGCATTCGCATTAATATAATGTACGGATACGCTTCCCGGTACAATAGTGCAATCATCGATTTATCGAATTTCTCTCGTACATAACTGGCGCTCAGAATCAATTTTGATCCCAATCGATCTATAATGTTGCGATCGATAATGCCGGTCGAGAGTGGAAGGGTGCCGTCGCGAGTGCTCTCTCCTACCATCGATATTAATTAATTTCCTGGGAAAATGATGGATAATCACTCTTGAATGTAACCAGGAAGCGGATAATCTATATGTTCCCCCTCGATCAAAAAGGGGGATAATCGCTCAATCGATCCTCAAAGATGACGCTGTGGACGTTACGGAACTGATTACTATCCATCGAGGATCGATAAAAAATGATAAGAATAATGATAGATAAAAAACTCCGGCGTAGACATGTAAGGGGTCTGAAGATATTATACAGACTGCTTTGTATAAAATAATTTCTACAGAAATATATGTATAAAACGAATATTGGACAAAAACTTTGGTTGACTTTATCAGAAAGAGTGTTCTTTCCTTTTGTTACTTTTTGTTACATTTTTTTATATCGTGCAGAATTTCTTGTTGGTATAAAAAGGATAGGATTTTTTAAAAACAGAATTTTTATATTTATGAAAATCGAAATATATTGTGCCTTCAATTTTGTTTGTTAAGAATTTTTGTTTTTTTCTTCTTTTATAAGGAATTTGCTAGAACGCAAGATAGCATTCGGAGCAATCATATGCAACAGCTCCGTCTTCTCTCCTCTGTCTCGTCTCTTTCTCTTCCTTTTTTGCTTCCCTCTCTTTCGGTACATCTTGTGTGAAATGAATTGAAAATGCGTCGACACTTCGTGCGACTCGTGTGCGGGTTATCGCCTATACTTTCGTTTCCGATCGTTGGAGAATCACTTTTCCGAAGAAAACGCCCTCAAACGGTGAAAGCGGGGCCATTGATTTCCTTCAGCTGGTTTGCGTAGGTGAACGAAACGTGGAAAAATTCTTTTAGCATATTGATAATTCATTTATTTTCCAAATTTAAAGATTATTCGAAGATTGTGATTAATAAAAAGTCACTCTCAAATTTTTATTATATGTATTTTCGATGACAATAAGACAGATGATAATTATTGTAATTGGATAATAATTAATTACGTTAAATAATTTTAAAATTAATTTTCTTAAAAATTTAGAAGTAAATATTGTAAGAGATAAATTTTAAAAATTCGAAAATATAGAATTGTTAATGTGAAATATTTTAATCAAAAGCAGAGAGAAGTATCTAATTTTTTATATACATATATATATATATATATATATATATATATATATATAAAGGCAGAAGAATTCACAGAAATGTGAGAGTTTATAAGGATCTAGCTATCTCCACTCTCTGAATTTCTCTCGAGCTTTACAAAAAAAATCTGTCTCTTTTTTTTCTCTCGTAAATTTAGACATGTAAACATGTGCAAGCCACGGTACTTTCGAAATAGCCACTTTATATTGGTTTCCACTGCACGACTTAAATTCGATCTCTCGAAGGAAGATCGAGGATGATCTCTTTACCGGCAATTTCGATTGCAAGGTATTCGTACACGAGCGCGGCGTCGTCGTTTTACAGGACTCTGGAAGATAATCGGTCCTTTTCATCTCTTGCCACGACGCAGGGTACTTGTTATTATTTTGATCTCGATTAACAATGCAAATCTCTCCTTGCACGGAATAAATCCAGGCAATGATTTAGAAAGCGAGTCTCGTTGTATTGTGTCGATTCTCTCGTGCGCGTGCGCGGATGGGAATCGTTTTGTCCGTGCACGGAGAAGATTACATCGTGTATCCCGTTTCTTCGATAGATCGACAATAGATCATACGTGCCGGAGATGGATGGGATCTCTGGCAAAAGCCGAATCCGCGCGATCGGTGACAGTTACATTTCCAGTTGCGACGAAAGTGTGTCACGGTTAATTCCCTCCCCCCCCCCTCCCTCCCTCCTTTTTTTTTTGTTAACTTGTCGCTTTTATTGTACCTCTTCATACTTTCGATTTCTTAGAAATTAAATCTTGTACTTTTATCAAAGTTTCTCATCGAAGATTTAACTTTCCACAACGTCTGATATGCAAATTGTTCCTGTATTTAGATGGGACTACAATTAGATTTCTAGACACTTGCGCATACGTCCGTCTTATCTGCGAAATAATTCCATTCGTTAAACATCCTTCAATCTTAGTTATCTCCGTCCAGATCGCTCGATTTTTTTTTTTTTTTTTCTATAAGCACGGAAAGAATTTTTCGCGTCTTGCATATATGCAGAGTTCAAATTGCGTCTCGCAGTCTTGAAAGCTCTTTTTCTACAGGCCGATATTTCTCGTGTGCAGGAGGATGCAATGAATTTTCTGTCGCAACGCATGATCAAATCGTTTCTCTATTAACATTGTTAATAAAACTTTCTCGAGCGTAACGATCGCTAATAGTAACGAGCATGTTTATTTGCTGCCAGGAATACTGCGCCTTCTCAGCTCTGTACTGCCGACACTACGAGGTGTTTATAAGTTTATTCATCGCTTATTTATTGTGCTTAACCCTGTTAAGGCTATTGTGTTCGATGTGCTTCCGCGTACGTCTTTTCTTCTGCTTCTCCTTAAGTGCACGTGCTGCTCAAACACTTTAATCAGCTTCGAGAAATATGAGTTCTCCTTTTCACTTTGTCGGTATAGCGAAGGCGTAAGTTTCAACATTCAAAAATCTAAGATACAATAAATATTATATTGAGATTCAAAATTTAAATATTAAAATATATGTAAAACTTTAGAAATACGAGAAGTAAAAAATCTACGATCCGGAAATTCCAGAAATTCAAGAACCTATTAAATCAAAATTATATAATATAAATATGATTATTTAAAACAGGGTTGTCCACAAATCTGGAAAAACCGGGAAAATGTAAAAGTGGCTAGAATTTTGAACTTTGCTCACAATTCTCTTAAACTGCTTCTATTCCAAATAATTGTTGCAATTTTTTAAATATTGTATGTGACGCTCATAATCAAATACGTTAAACTCGCATGCACTTTTAAACAATTTAACAAAAAAATTAGATTAGAATTTATATTTTATTCAGTAATTTTATTTGATTGCCACTTTTTTTTGTCATAACTGCATTCTTTTTTCCAATACTAATTAATTTTTTGTTTGAATTTGCCCCCAAAATTTTATTATGCTACTTTTGCGTTTTTAATAGTACGAGCTAGCTTTTTTACAATCCTTGATTTTAAATGTTAAATTTTTTACATATTTTATACTCGTCATGGAAGTTTTATCTGGAAAACTTGGAAAAGTCAGGGAATTTTAAAATTCATTTTCTGTGGCAACCCTACAAAATTTCAAATATTATAATGAACGTCATGGGATTTTTTCAGAATGACATGTGTGAATAATTTGAGTATGTAACGATCTAAAAATTCAAATCTTAATATACGACTATCCGAATCTTTTTGATCACAAATTTTCAGCGAAAGCCACGTGTCATCGTCAGTGATCGTAATGACATAGCAGCGAGCGTAACTAATTGGAATTGTCGTTACCCACAACTGCTACGGCACTTTCGCGTATTAGCCGCGTTTTCTATCCTTGGAAAAATGTCGCTTTTCCAAAGAGATCGAAGAGTATCATCCAAATGACATCGATCAAGAAAAATCATGTTTTTTTTATTTACTTCGCGAACTATACAAGATCTTAAAGCGATAATAATCGAGTTTAAAGATATTATAGTTGATTAAATATATTCATTCCATTTGTTGCAGATTTTCTCTACCGACACAGCGTCACTATTGATAACGTCACGACGGAGGTCGAGATACTTGACACATCTAGGTGCGAGGTAAGTTTCTATAATGATTAAATTGTGTGTATTAAATGTATTAAATGTATTAAATTCAATCAATTTATATTTTTCTCATCATTTTATTCTTTGATAGAATTAATAATTAAAATTATTTTGCTACACAACATTATAAATACAAATATTCAGATTTTATTAATTATATCAAAGAATAAAATAATGAAAAAAAAGAGTCTAGAAACTCTTTAACGGAATGAAGGGGGAATAATTTAAAAAGTTAGTTGTATTAAAGATCATCTTTATCTTTCTTCACATCCAAAGATCTTCATCATCAATTTTACTTCAATTACTTTATTTCAAATCATAAAACATGCGCTTTTCTTACGACGTTTACACGCGCAAAATTATCTTTAATGATGAACTTGACAAATCGATTTACTTCTTTGAATCACGTCCGATTGCACTCTTGCCGCGAGGATAATACATCGATACAACGGTATCCCGTGCATTTATGTATGAGTATATTTTTACGAATCTTTCATCCTTGTATAATCTGCAAGGAAGAAATCCTGCGCATTCAAAATGAATTCGCTCCGCGACGCGTCTCGAGACGAGACAGGATCTTCCAAGGGTCCGGTCTAAATATATCTTCTTTCAAGGGAGGTCCCGTATATAATATAGGCCTCCCGTAATCCTTAAGGCTTACATTCATCATACGCTGGCAAAATAACGAGTGACTCGCAAATCGCGAAGACGGTGGGTCTTGCAGAGCGATTTTGAATACTCGACACGCGTGTCCTTCTATTATCTATAAGAATCTATTTGAGAATCAATCGAATGATCTAGATATTTTAAATAAATCTTATTTTCCATTGTAGATACAAACGCCATAGAAATTAACAAGCATAAAAATACTACTATTTTTATCTAACGATGTATCATGATATATCGTAAAATATGATATGTCATATTTGACGCACCAGTGTGTCTAAAATATTCAGGTTGATCTTGTACTTTATTTTGAAGTGTATTTATCATTTCTCAGGATGTATAACTCTTTGTAATACGTGTATATAATGCTTTCTATTCTTTTTGATGTATACTATATAGAAACACATGTACTTTCCAGACTTTCTCTGAAAAATGATACTTAACTGCGAGTCTTCTCGCAGACTCCGGCTCCAGGGCGATCGTCTCTACCTGACCTTTCCTAACCCGATTCTTCTAGAACACAATAACGAACGTCGCAGCGAGGCGGAAATCCTGCGTGCTGGCCCGTTAGTCCGTTAGCGTATTTGAATTGAATAACGAAGTCTTTAAATTTGAATCTAGGCGACTACGATTGCACGAACAACACGTGGCTGCTTCACCTGTCGCGGCCAGAGAACTCGTTGGAATTCCTGCGAGGTTGCTTATTTATAGCATCGAAATAAGACATTGTTCTTCTTTTTCATGAAATCGTTGTTAACCACGAATGTAAACACGATGCAAATTTGCGTAATGATATATCGATCTTCGATTTTTGACGGTTTTTTTATTTATGCCGTGTAAAGAGTTTACGTTTCGAAAGTTTACGGCCACGAAATTGTTTTAGCCGAAAAATTCCGAAACTATAACAACTGTACTACGCCTCGTTTTTTTAGTTCTCTAATTCTCAAGTCTGTTCAGCTTGTCTCGTTTTAAAGGTTAAAAAGTGCGATTTTCTAGAAATCTTTTGACAATTTCTAATCTTCCAAGAATTGAAAGCCGCAAAATGTTTTTAAGCTGCAAAAGCCGTTTGACGAATTGTTATATTATTGAAACGTTAAAAGGTTTCCTTGTAATTTGATAATGGCGAGGAAGGTAGCTTTACGCAGTAAGTTGCAATTTTTGTTTTTGCGGCTCCCACTCCGGCTCCGGCTTCGTTTTGGCATTTAACCGTATCTTTCCCTCGATGAGCGGTGAGAAAGTTCATTCATAGAAAGTATTTCCTGCATAAGTTCAAGTATCGCGACTCTCTGGCGCCTTTTCAACGTGGCAGAATGACTGCGTGCGTTTATTACGTTAGAGTTAAACATGAAACGTCATACTTTAAAGAGCAGATTTTTTAAAACGTCAAATAACATTACTGCCATAGCCTCATTAATTTATATTCAGCTGTCATCGGAGGGACGATAGAAACGATAAAAATGTTGAGAAGGCTGTATGTTTCTTTCTGATGACGCATAAAAAGAATTTGAAGCGACATAATCGTTTTAATATATAATTTCTCGCTTTGTTCCAAATATCTTGGAATGTATTTGCGTACTTTCTCTTGGGTGGTGAGACGCACAATTTCCGCGGGATGAAGATTTGAAGAGATATTTCAAAACGGATTTCCAACAGCTCCGCTTCTCACGCACTCTTCACACGCACGTTGCCACACCGACACTCGTTCGTTATTCGGTAGCCCCGCAACGAGACTCGATCAGGCCCGGGTTGTTTTTAGCAAACTGGTTTTTCTACCCGGGGCTTACAATTACCGGCTTCCTTTTTTGCGCTGGTCCCTGAATGTTTGCACCTGTCGCTTAAAAGACCGAGAACCGTGATCAACCGTGATATCAGGCTAGATATTCTTCGTCTTACATTTGAACAATTGATATATTTTTCACTTCCTAGATTAATCAAATTCGTCTGATTCTTAAATTTTTAAACCTTTCCATTTTTTTTCATTCAAAACATCGTATCTTTCAGGCAATTGAATCCTAATAGATATTTATATCGATGAAAATTTTACTAATTTTATGTTTTATTATTTCTTGTATTCATGTTCTTGAATTTTTAGCATTATTTTTTTCCCCCCAATTTGTGTCCCTCAAGTTTTATCCGCGATAGCTTCGATATTCAAATTATCTCTTTTAGAGATACGAGTGCATTGAGCAACACTAACTACACGGCTCGCTGGCAAACAATGCTTGTCCGTTTAGAGAACCTTGTACGTGGAACGCGTAAGGATGCATGCACCGTTAGCTTGTAGATACAATAAATAATCTGGAACAGGAAGCGATGCTGCCGATTTGTATATGTACGCGCATAAAATTATATTTTTAATGCATCTTCGTCCGCTGACATTGTTACATTTTCAAAAAAATATTCTCTCTGACAAAGATTTTATATTTAAATGTAACCATTAATTTTTGCAATATCACCTCTATGTTTTACGTATTTCTTTTTTTTTAATGTAAAACTTATTACTGATCTTTATATATAATACACAGATGGGTTAATTAATGTGATTTTTGCTTCTTAAATTTTTTAGCTTTAGATTATTTTTGTACAATTTTTACTTCTTGCTGAACTTGATACTCGACGTGAATAGATATATTTCAGATTCAGTTAGTTTAGCAAGGAAACCTAAGGAATGCTGTTGGGGAACAGGATCTAGGAAGATCGATATCGATGTGGATCAGTGTGGCAGTGGTGCAGGAAGTCGATTCCGTATCGTAGAAGAAGCGGGGATCATTAAATACGCCATCAGCGGACAGTTCTCTAACTCCTCTGTATCAGATCAATATATCACGTTCCCAACGCGTGAGGTCCCATTGTGAACGAAACTTTTAAATCGGTCCCCTTTACTCTCGGCAAATCTCCGCGAAGCTCCACTGCGTGCGCCAGGATCAATCAATCCTGGACAACGCGCTGTTTATCACGGCTGCAACATTTACGAGCAACGTATCGTTTTCATCTCGGCATTTTTGTTATCAGGTTGCGTCGACTATAACTCACGTTCAACTTCAGTAAATCCGAAAGCTGTCGACTGTTGTGTGATTAAAACTTTTTACATCGGAATATGATTATACGGACGTTTACCTGCACGTTCTATGCATCTAAATTTCAATCTCCTCCCTGAAGTTAAGTTTCAATTTTTGCGTTTTTTTAACTTTTATAATTTCATATTTTCACGGTCAGACTTTTTTTTTTCAATCAGGCTTTTTTTTTTCAGATCTTACATTTTTATACTTTTCAATTTGATCCTAGGATGCTTGATACGCGGAGTGAATGATTATGCTGAAGTTCCTAAAAATTTAGTTAAAAACGGATTTAAAAATATTGTAATTTAATTGAAAATAATTATGTAGGGAACTCAAACGTGATGAACAATCGTGCAAAAAAGTGCAAAAAAATTTCATACTCGAGTATAATTATTTTGATAGTAGAGTCCAGTAAAGTTATTTTCTGATCTGTATACTTTTAAATACTTTAGTAAAACCGTTGTTTTTCTTTTCTTTGGGCATGTATGTATTCGTGAAAATCCTTATGTTCTGACGTTGCCAAACTCGCGTGCGTTCAAGTTGCTCTTAAATTACTGAAGAACCAGGCTCTCATGTTACTCGTGAGAGGAACCCAGATACTGACTATCTTAACTATATCTGAAAATCGTGCAATGGATATTAGAACAAACAGCCGATAATTCCTCGCTAAGCTAAGACCTCGGCCGTACCAGTAAAATACATAACGCATCGTTCGCGGTGTAATCTTTCCAATTATCTCAGCATTCCTCTCACTTTTGTGATATCTGACTGCGATATTATACGCCTGGCATATTTAATGGGGGGAACTAGCGTACGATTCGCAATAGGTTCATCTTGTATTTCGACTGCGATACGACACGCTGAATATTATCGCTGCTTCATCTTTGAATGTATTGTACAATCGTAATCATCATTTTGTCTTTCTTATATTTAGAATGCATACGCGGCTATCAAATATTTTACAGAATTATCAAATTTCTTCTTCTTATTACTGATAGAAAAAATAACGTTAAATATGTACGTATTAAAATTTAAATATTAACTTTTTCTCTACAAATAATTATTCTCTCCATCTTTTTCTG